TAACTCTGCAGAATATCAGGGAAATTGTAATGTTTTTGCATTTCATGTATGTGAAAGTTATTTTTAAAAATATCAACAATATACTCTTAAGACATAGTGAAGAATACTGTTTTTTTTATGTGCATTTATGCTTTGGATAAACACACAGCTTCCTTCTCTCCTCCACTAACTATATTGCATATATCTGGAAGTTATATAGCTTTTATAAATGTTACCTGGGAGCTTTGATAGGTACGTATTTAGTGCCTAAATTATAGGACTTGGTGAATCATTTGTCAAATCCACTGCAAAACATTCTCTGATCTATTGGGAGAGGCCAGGTGTTTTTTATATGTTTGTGATACATAATATATACTCATTGTGGGGAATTGGTACGTGCACACATCACATCCTGATGTTTTTACTTCCCCCTTCCCTTATTCCCCTCCCTTCTCTGTACTTCTCGATCCTCAGATCCCTTTCTCATTTCCACAGTCTATTTCCCTGTTTTCTATTACCTATCTTTTATTTTGCTCTTTAAATTATTTTACTTTGTGTTTCTCATAATAAGAGGAACCATGCAATATTTAACTGCATCTTATTTTGTTTAGCAGTATGGCCTCAAGGTGCATCCATTTTCTTATACATGACTCAAATGCATCCTTCTTTGTGGCTGAGTAGTATTCCACTGTGTATATGTGCCACATTTTCTTTATCCATTCATCTGTTGATAGGCAAATAGGCCATTTCCAAGGAGTTGTGTTACTGTAAACATGGGTACACATCTATCACTGTAATATGATGTCTTTAATTCTTTGGGGAAGATATCTAGAAGAGATATAGCTGGATCAAATTAAATTTCTCTTTGTAGTTTTTTTGAGGAAACCCCATACAGATTTCTATAGTGGTTGTACTAGTTTACATTCCCACCAACAATATAGAAGGGCTCCTTTTCCCCAGTAGCCTTGCCAGCATTTTTGTTATTATTTCATTTATTGAGAATAGCCATTCTAACTGGGATAAGATAGACTTTCAGTGTTGTTTTAATTTGCATTTCTCTAATGCCATAGATACTGAACAGTTTTTCATGTACCTATTGGCTATTTGTACTTGTTTTTCTTTAAAGAATTCATTACAATTGCTCTTTTTTTTTGGGGGGGGGTACTGGGGATCAAACTCAGGCCCTTGTGCTTGTGAGGCAGGCAGCCGAGGCAGGCAGCAGAATCACCGAGCCAAATTCCTGGCCCTCTTTGCTCATTTTTTAGATTGGGCCATTTATTTGGCAGGGGGGTCTTTTAAAAAATTCTTTCTATATTCTAGATATTAACACTCTGTTCAAGGAGTAGGTGGCAAAATTTTTTTCCCCATTCTGTAGATTAGAAACTGGGTGTTTTTTACTGTTAGTAACTGGATTTACAGGTGGGCAACAGAATATCTCCTGCATATAGGGTAACTTTATTTTTACATGAAATGAAACATTTTTAGGATATTCTCTGTAGTCCTTACCACTCAGGTCATACAACTGGTGTAACTCTGCACATATAATGTAATGTGCTGGGTCACTTTCTCCCCATAGAGACTGGCCCATTATTGTTATAAAGTCTGAATTCAGAAATCCTAAAGTGCAAATAAGAACAGATCTAGGAAATGCTTGTGGCCAAGAACAATGGAAATATCCTGGTGCTGTCTATTGATAAGAGAGAGAATGTTTTGTGAAGGTTCTGATCATATCTAATAAATCAAAACCCTTCAAAATTAATGCTGGGATGCTTTTGCCTTCAGTGTCTATGCCTGCAATACTCCTTACAGCCACCAGGCAGCAGTAGTATCTTAAATAGCCAACATGCCTGAACCACAGTCTTACGTGGCTACCAGATGTACACATGATTTATGCATGTATCTAGCTAATACTTCTCTCACCACATGAAAAATACATACTAAGCAGCATTTCTGGAGGTAATGTAGTACCACCCTCAGTCTCATCTAAGCCTTGATTCTGGCTAGGTTGGGCGAGTTAGCTTCTTACCTGAGAGGAAGAGGGTTAATAACAGTGCTTTCCAGAACTGTGGTGTTCTGTATCTGTAGCAAGAGCCCTTTGACCTTGCACTTCTATGTCCTACACACCCTGGAGTGGGATTAACATTTGCTGCTCAGCTGTGAACAGTGCAGGGCACAGAGGATAGTCTGTAGTTGGACTAATCCTTTACACATGGTATATTCACCAACCAATACTCACAATAATAGGAGTGAACATTAATTGAGCATATACTCAACACCCACCTCAATACTAGTTCTTTTCATCCTTATTGTAACTCTGAGGTCTGTATCATCATTATGCCCATTTACAGGGGAGGAAACCCCCAGGGGTGTGGGAAGAGTAAAGGAGTTTCTACATAAATTTTGCTCAGCCCATTGCCTGGGACATAGTGCTTGTTACATACAGTGCCGTGCTTACTATTTGCAGATGAGGAAACTGCTGTTCAGAGACTGGCTGGAGCGATAGGCCAGTTTGCTGAGAAGCATAAAGCAGCAAACCCTAAGAGGCAGTAGGAGTACAGAGTAGTGGGCAACTAATTCTTTTTTTGGGAGGTAGCCAGGAAGGCTTCATGGAGGAAACAGCATTCAAATTGGATTATGAAAGATAAGCAGGGGGCCAGAGTATGTTGCCTGCTTTCCTGGTTCTGTTCTTTTTCTTCCTTGTAACAAAACACTCCCAGGTTTACCAGAACACCTGGCTGTTGAGCTGGAGATTGAAGTTACCATCATTCCTTGCAGCTAGGAATGTTGTGGGGCTGAGTTTCCAATTGTGAGTGGAAGTAAAATTGCTTGCTACTGTTTCCCAAGACTGTGATGTGGAGGAACAAATTTTGGCCATGAGGGAAGGGAGGAGCAACAAAATAGAACCTGAGCTCCAGGATGACCTGGGTGAGCACGGCTGTTCCTCTCATGGTGGACCTCATGCCCTTTGCCAAAATATCCCATGAGACAGCACAAACTTCTATGCTATGTGGTCCACTATGGGTGGGCTCCTCTATCTGAAGCCTGCTATTTATTTGGAAGCCTAAATAATATATCAGGTAAAGAGAGAGGGCTTATAGGGCAAGATGAACAGCACATTCAAAGACATGAAGAAGGAAGACCTTAGAGTGTTTTAGGAAACTTTCTCAAAGGTTCTTTAGAGGATCAAATGAAATATTAAACGTATCTGAATTACTTAGTGTAGCATCTGCAATATACTAAGCTCACAAGGAGAAGGATATTTTTCCTGTGTGACACAAAAGTGACTTCTGGACCCTCATCTATAAAGTATGGGTAGTGACACCAGTATGATGAAAGCAGAGGTCAGGACATTCCCACTTTAACAGTATGAGTGGCTTGGAGAAACCCCACTGGGAGCAGGGCAGGAAGAAAAGTACCTATTGAGAGATGAAGGAATACTGACTTCCACTGATTCAAAGTTTAACTTAAGACCTCTGCTGCTGTCCCGTCACTCAGCTCCAGCTCCAGCTCATACATGTCCTGCTCAGCGCTGAGAAGTCATCAGCAGTCTCTTGGAGGAGTCCTGGATATTCATGGCTTCCAGTTTTCATGCTGGGCCTTTTAGGGCTCTGTCCTCTGTAGTGACTTCTGTTTACCCCACAGAACTCTGTGCAAACATCCCATCTGCCAAGGCCTCCCTGACCTGGGAAAATCTGATTCTGTGTCACCAGCCTTCCCTTAAGGACATTTAGATGTCATTTTTCCTTGCCAGGCTGAGCTCTTCCAGGGCAGAGACATGATTGTTTTGTTGGTTTCTCCAGCACCTGGACAGGTAGGACCTCAAGTCTACATTCACTGAATGTGTGAGGTGTTTTTGGGCAGCCCCAGGATCAGCCAATGTGTATGGATATGGACGTGGATGTGGACACACACACACACACACACACACACACACACAGGATGGGGGGTGCAGAGAGGACTTCATTTTAGAAAGTCAATGTAGAACAAGCACATATTTCACAAATGCTGGAACCGTGCCTTTCTGACAACGTCTGGGGAGTTAGGGAGCTATGGAGGCAGTTTGATAGAAAAGAAAGCATCTCAGCAAACAGGAGGCCTGGCTCAGGACTCTTGTCTTTCCCTCTCTGAGCTTTATTTCTGGCCCATGCCTTTCAGTCTTCTAGGGACCTCTGGGAGCCCTGTCTCTACCTCGATTCCCAGGGGCCTAGCCTCGTGGTGCAAACACCAGACCCGGGTCTCTCACGGTGCCTACCTACTTGCCATGATAGCGGGGTGGGGAGGGAACCGGGCACCTCCGCCGTCCTTCCCTTGTCCCTCCTCCTTCCTTCCCGTCCCCTTCCTTCCTTTTGCTCCTCTCGCCCCCTCCCTTTCCCCGTGGTCCGGTTCCCTCCTCCACTCCCCGCCGCTCGTCCAGGGCGCGGGCCGGGCGCGCGCTGGGTGGTCCCGGCCAGGGGCGGGCGGTAGCCTGCAGGCGTAATTGGCATGCACGCCGTTGTAGCTGAGACCGCTTAATAAAGCATTACATATCTCACCGCTTCCATATTTCATTACCTCACGCGGAGCCTGTGAGAGGGCCCTAATGGGAGTCAGCTGTGTTTTTACTTTCTGTTGTCGACCGGGGACGGGCTTCTCTGTGGATTCTTTGAAATGAAATAATGTGATGCACGCCGCGATAAGGGCCGGCCGTAATGAGGCCCAGGCCGCCGGGCGGGAGGCTGCGACTGCTCCAGGTGTCGCGCCTTTGAGCTCGGAGGACTTCGAGGAGGAGGGGGAGGAGCGCAAACGGAAGGGGAGGAGGGAGGCGAGGCGGACGACCACGGCTGCGTGGGAATCCTCGACCCAGGTTCAAATCCTAGCCCCCTGACTGAGCGGAGAGAACCCGAGATGGCGGTGACACCCCCTCCCGCCGGCGTGGCGCAGCGCCGACTGCGCGCTGCGTGTGCGTGGGGGCAACAAATCGCTTACTGGGCGGAACCAGCGCCCGCCCGCCCTCTGGGCGTGGCACCTGCCAGCCCTTTCATTGGAGGATCGCAGCAACCTTGCTTGCTACCTCCCTAGCAGAGGAGGAGACTGTCGGAGAGGTGAAGGGGCCGGATCCCTGGCACACTGTAGGAGCCAGAGGGCAGTCCTGGGCTGGGAGCAGAAGAGCCAGAAAGAGGGAAGGAGGTAAAGTTGGTGGAAGAGTTGGTCCTCTGCCAGCTGACTTGGCTAACTCGCCGCACTTTCTGCCGGAGAAGGGAGCTGGGCTTTCCCCACCCAGTCCCTTGGGCCGCCTGGTGTGGGCTGGAGGCCTTGGCCTTCTTACTGGGAAGGGACGGAGGGTAGGCAAGCCCTTGGGACAGAGGGAGGTGCAGGAATTTGTGGAGGGGCAGGGTGGGGTGAGGAAGCCCCCTGTACTGAGCATCTGTGTTCTAATCCCACAGCCGCAGTCCCCTGAGTTGAACGTGGCTCTTCTGTGACAGTCCCCAACCCTCTCACGTTCCTGTTTCCTCTATGCCTGCTCTGTCTGTATCTCTGTTTTTCCTCTAGGGACAAATGCTCCTTTTTGGGGGGTGGTTGAAACCAGGGTCTTTGCACTGAGTTACGTCTCCAGCCCTTTAATATTTATTTAAAAAATTTTTTTTTGACACAAGGACTCGGGAAGTCACTAAGGTGCCAAGGCTTGGCTGGAACTTACAGTCTTCCTGCCTCAGTGTCTCAGAATGCATCACTATGCCAAGCTGAGAATTAATGTTCATTTGGAAGTCATATCTCCTCAGCATCTCTCAGATTCATCCCAGGCACAATCTAGGTCACATCTGCATCACTGCAATAGAAATCTTTCTCAAATCTGACCCTGTATGGCTGCCCTTCAGCCCTAGCCTCCCCTTGGCTCCCAAGAACATCCAGGTCCTAAACACGTCTCTCTGTATGGACACACATTCTCTTTGGCTTCTTCTGTAGCACACCACATCACTGAACCCGAACAGACAAGGTCACCTTCCTTTCCCCCAGGTTCATCGGCGACGTCTCTGGGTGTGCTGTTCCCTGAAGTGCCCATTTCCCCTGTGGCACTCCACTCATTCTCCAAGGCTCAGCACAATGAGTGTACACCCCATGGGAGCTTCTTTGCATGTGGTTCTCTGCTTCCAAGGCGGGTATGCTCCTTTACGTCTTCAAACCTCAGTTTCCCTGCATGGGGCTGGGGGGAGAGTGTGATCAGGACATAATGTCCTGAATTCACCAGAATGGTGGAAGTTTCTGATGGAGAAAGAGGTCCTTTGATTTTTGTGGATGTGTTAGATGAGAATCTTGCCACCCGTGTCTTCCGCAAGCCTGGCATCATACCCTGGCTTTGATCCAATGTGTTGGAGCCCTCCTGGGCTCATGCCATAGGGACCAGGGAAGCTGGGCTCTCAAGCCAGGCTGTTCAGATGCCAGACCCTGAATGTCTGTGCATGTGTGTACGTGCACATTTGTGCACACATGTAAAATAATGGTGGAGCACGACCTTCTCAGCACTCTGTCACCTCTTGCACCCTTTTGAGGCAGGTCCTGCAGAGATCCACACTCAGGAACACTGGGCTGCTGCCTTAGTCACACAGCTACAATGAGGAATGGCCAGGGCAGCTGAGCAGGCACAGGTCCTACCCCGGCCCAAGAAGTCAGATTGGACCCTCAAAATGTAAGATGCTTTGTTCTTTGACACCAGTCTTAACTTTGCTAGCTGTTTTTCCCTTGCATTCTGCCTGCATCCAGGTCCTGGTTTGGAGCCTTTGCTCTTCCCTGTGTCTGTATGGGGACTGTCTTAATCGTCCTTCAGACCTAGCCCAGATAGCCCCTTTTCCAGACCCAGGCCAGATAGCCCCTTTTCCGAGAAGTGGGCAGAGCCATCTCTCTCTGTATCATGCTCTGTTTATACTTCTCTGGCCCAGCTTGGAGCATCCTGGCTTTATGATCCTGAGCCCCAAGGTCAGAGGCTGAGCTTCTCCTGGTTGGCAGAGAGCTAGAGTGGAGTAGGTGCTGAGGATATGCTTGTGGATACCTGGCTAAGTGGGCTGGGTTCTGAGGATCACTGAAAGCATTTGCAAGTCCTCACTCAGAGAAAATGCTCCATAAATGGCAGCTAATAATATTGCTATTATTTATTACTGTGCTTTTGCTTTGAGCCAGGTTTTTTTGTTGCAACCTGTATTTTATTTACTTCTCACATCTTTATCAGATTGCTATTATAACCCCATTCTGCCATTGAGGAAACTGAGGCTAAATCATGCCCAATAATTTACTCATGACTAGAAAGCTAATCAGAGGCAGATCCAGGGCTAAAACCCAGTTCTGTCTGCCTTTGAGCCGCATCCTTTCTGCACGCATCGCACGGATCTTATTGTGAGTGCCTTGTGCTCTCTGCTTGTCAAGCAGGGCTGCTCTATTGATTAACATGCAAATGATTTTTTGAGAGCGGCTTAAGTGTAGTTCTGTCTCAGCCAGCCACAACTGAGATTTGCAACCCAAGCCCTGGTCCTCACCAACGACTCAGCTATCAGGTTTTCATCTCTGGAGTGATTGACGGGTATTTTTTTTCTCTCCCTGACCCAGAACGCCAGGCCTCCAATACTACTGAAATGTTTGCACAATCTTGAAGCATTTATTTAAAAGTTGCTTTTCCCCAAAAGGCCTGGCCTCAGCCAGATCCTGAGCCAGATCCAAAAAAACAAACAAATCCTGTCTTTACAAGTTCTTCAGCTGGGCTGTGTGGGGCGGGTGGGGGTGGGGGTCCCCTGGGCCCTACCTTTGCCCTGGCTGGCTGACAGGCCCGCCCCAGGCGAGGAGCCTGCCTGCCTGTTTACAGCCCTTTCCAATTCACAGGCCAAACAGGAAAGGGGGTAAGGGTTTGGGGAGGGGGTGAATGTCAGAAATCACAAATAACACAGTTGCTTCTCAAAGCAACAGGCAGTAGAGATGTGATGCAGATATGGCTGGATTGCATTTCTTGAGTGTTCTTTGGGAACCAAGTAAGACCCTTGACACCAAGTACTACTAAGGCTCCCACAACTCTCACAGCAATATGATGGGGGTTTGTCCCTCAAATGGGTCCTGTGAGCTGAATGCTGTGCCTGGCTAGGCCTTGTGAGCTTGAAAAGATCCCTTTTCTCTGGCCCCAACAATTATGGTGCCATGAGGGGACTGATCTCTAGCCCTGGCATCATCTGCCCTGAACCATGGCCATCTGAGGCTTTTCTCTTGGACAAAGCAAGAGGGAGAGGAGGAGGCCCCATTTTTGGAGGGCAGTTCTTGTGCCTGGCACTGCGCATGGTGCTGCATGGTAGTTGACTGGTTTACTGGGCACACACCCGCATTTCTGTCCCTTTCTGCAGGTGAGGTGTCTAGGGGCAGCACTGGATCCCAAGGTCTGTCTCCAGCACCCTCTCTCTCTTGTCCTTCCCCAGCAAAGAACTAGTCTAGAATGAGGTCTAGTGTATAGAACATGGTGTCGCCTGCCTCATATGCCCAGTGATTAGACCTCAGCGAGAGAGGGGGTTCTGCAGAAGAGACTGGGACCCAGAAAGTGGCACTCTCTCACTGCTTTTCAGTCGCACAGGGGCCATCTGGTCACAAATGGGCAAATGTAGGCCTGTGGCTGGCAGAGCTCAATCTGGCCAGTCCCCTGAGGCACTGTCTAAGAAGTGGAGGTCAAATGCTCTGATTGCTTTTCCAGAGCCCCCAAATGTGCAGGCCCATGGCAGGGTTCCCACTGGGCATTATCTGCTCCTATTGTTGAATCTGCCCCTCCTGGAAGACACTCAACTCTTTGATGACCTTTATGCCTACCTCCCTGTCCTTGTCACTACCAAGGTTATGTGTGTCTGTCCTTACAATGACCAGGCAGTGCCCCTTCTGTTCTTACCTTCTGAAATGCTTCCTGGAACACCTGCCTTCTTGGCTATTTCCTGTGTCATTTTGGACAAGTAACTTAGCTTTTCTTTAATTTATGTTTTTAGTAGTGTGTGTTTGCAGTATACAGTGATTACGTTCATTGTGGGGAGTTGGTTCCTATACATAACAGATGACTAAGCTTCTTGAAGCACCAATGTCCTCATCTACAGAAGGGTTTTATGCAGTAGTGGATATATAAGTGCTTTTGATGGGGGCTCACTGAGAGATGTTGTGCTGACACCGTTGCTGTTTCCACTGGCTCTTCTCCGTCGATCTGGAGCTACTGTTGAGTGAACAATGGACTCACTGGCTTCTCCTCCTCATCTCAGCGAGCCCCTCTGGGTGCAGTTTGTGCTGAGCCTGGGCTGGGAGGATGCACTCAGACAGATATTGTGGGTGCAGGTTGGTTGCTTCAAAGGCAAAACAAAGAACCACTTTGCTTCTTTCCCTCCCAAGCCTCCAAGCCCTTGCAGATACACAATGAGGGCCAGCCTGGGAGAGCTGGCAGTGCTGGGACCATGTCTGATTTCCTCCTGCATCTCCAGAGAGGAGCACAGAGCTGGACACAGAGCCTGGCACCAGGCAGGCTCTCGCTAAGTGTGTGTTGATAAATGAACCTAACTCTCGGAAAATCATCTCAGTTCTCTAAATCTCAGCTTCCTCATCCGTAAAATGGGGCTAATGTTACTACTCACCTCATATTCATTGTAGGATTAAGAATAGTGGTCCACTCAGGGAACTTAGTGCCTATGTATAATGATAATGCTCTGGTGTTCTTAGAGACACAAAGGCTCAGAGAAGCTAACTGCTTTGTTCAGCATCACTCAGGTAGAAAGTGGCAGAGCTAGGAATGGCCTTTAGGCTTGTTTGACTCCAGGCTCTTGGACATGGACCTCCTGTTGACTCATAGCACTTACTTCCTGTCTGTTTTGAGTAATGAAACCTCTCATCTTCAGTTGAGCTCATAGCTATCTAGAGTAAGGACTCTATTTTCCAGCCCTCCCCATCCCAGCAGCTAGCAGTGGCAGCTGGGTTCTGGCCACTTAGTTGAAGTTATGTCTGTAACTCCCAGGAAGTGTCCTGAGGGTGAGTGGATGTGTGTGTCCGCTCCTTCCCTATTTGCTGATGGCCTGGCTTGTGACCTGATAGCAGTGGCACCAGCTAGCTGACAGCTCAGGTCAGGCAGTGGAAGCAGGAATGTGCCTCATAGAGTGGCATGGCCAGTGGAAGGAAGCTAGTGCCTGAGGGCGGAGGCTCCATCGTATCTGCCTGTTCACAAAGTCAAAGAGCAACTTTGACCTGTTTGGACCACTGTTACTTTGGATATTGCCATACGTCTGATTCACAATTTCTTAATGGGAGACTGCCAGTAACTAGGACAGTAGCATTTAAAAAACTGTCTTTGTCACAACACTAAACCTTAATTTTCTTCTGCTGAATCTCCACTGACTAGCTCCGTGCCAGGTGCATAGCAGTTTAGGGACATTTTGGGGAGCTGCTCAGCTGAGCTGGAGCCCCATCCCTGAATTACAATCCTTGCATATTTCCAGGTCAGCAAGGGCTGTGAGAGTGTTTGGCCTGCGAGTTGAACCATGAGGGTGAGGTGGCAGCTGGGAGGGGCAGTATGTGCCATGGTTTCTACTGGATGGCACAGGGCAGCAGTTCAGGGTCTGGGATCCCCAGCTCTTTTCCTATCTTCTTCAGAGTCCCAGGGTATGGGCAGCTCTGTGACATGGCTTCCAGCTATCTCAGAGGACATCTGTCATTAATTGGAGGCCTAGTATAGTTCCTGCTTGTTGTTGCTTTGTCTGTTACACACCATCCTTCCTACCTGTGGGCCTGTCCTGAGGCATGCAGAATAGCTGACCAGGTCCCACAGTGCCATGGTGTCAACTCCCACAGAAAATCTCTCATTCTAGGTGTCTTCTGGTTGTCCCTTCTCGGCTGATGCATGGATATCCAATACATACTTATTAAATGACTGGAATCATTTGTACAGTTGGCCCTGTGGTATGTGATACTTACTACTCTCTGCCTGTTGGGGGCTACAGATATGGGAGAAGGACTTGGGATCAGCCTCTAAGACCATGTGTCTCTGGCCCTTATGCACAGAATGTGGATCTGTGTCCAGGCAGAGTTACAGGGGGCCCAAGAGCTATTGGGGCTGAGCAACGATACAATGTAGAAATGAGGGATAAAATTTGGGGCCTAGAAGTAGGGTTTAGTCACTCTGATAATACCTATATCGGCCCCAGAATGGGACCCTAAGTCTGGAACTTTCTATTTTTCTAATCTGCCTTTGCAGAATGAGCAGGGATGACTAAAGTTTAGTGCCTCTGGCTCTTATTCTCATCCTCAGAGGACTCAAAAGATGCTGATAGCTCCTTGTTATGCCCATGGAACCCTTCTCCATGCATTAGCCTCGTGACAAAGTCCCTGAAAGCTGTGGTTAAGATGCTGTGAGACCTCATCTTTGAACCTCATCCTGCAGAATAGTGTCCCACATCACCTGGACTTTTCGTCAGTGAAGTTGCATGAATCACATGTGTCAGATGAATCAGGTCCATGCACCTGGCAGTCATTATTGTCAGTTATTTTGTGGCACTGAGAGTCTCAGGTTTTAAGATTGTTTTTTTCTCTTATTTCTAGGTCAGGAGACTCTTCTCAGAGGTAGAAGAGTCAAGTCCAAAGTTGTTTCCCATAAGAAAGAGAAGCTGTCCACCCACCCATCCACCCACACATCCATCGGTCTACTTGTCTACCTAACCCTCACTCATCCATTCAGCCGCCCCTTCACACACTGCTCCACCTATCTAGTATCTTTTCATTATATTCTGGGCTAGGTTCTGTGCTGAGAGTTGAAGACTCTACAGATGAATCAAATACTTCCCCCTGCTCTCCAGCAGCCCACAGTGGGATAGAGAAAGATGATGCAAATAGACTATAAAAAATAAACATGTGAGACAATCCAGGAGCTGTGGACCCCCATGATCACTCAATCATGGGGTCAGAGAGGCTTTCTGGAGGAAGTGACACTTGGGTTGATCTTGAAGGATGAGGAGCAGTACCAAGGCAGAAAAAGAATGAAAGTTAAGGACCAGAATGTGCAAAAGTCCAGGGGCGGCGTGTCAAATTGCATGTCATTGTTTGGCAAACTGTACGTGCTGGAAAAGGCAGAGGTGGTAGAACAGGGTGGAAGAGAAGTCAAAGCTAGGGTCTGATGCAGATTCCTGACCTGATCCTGGTTCTTCTAGATGTGGACAGGGAGGGAGCACAGATGGAGGCCTCCCAGGCTAGTGTTAGGCAGTGGACACCAGATCTGAGTGAGTTCATACTAAGGACCCGGGCTTCTTGGGTACAAGGGTGGGGAGGTTCTATTTCAGGCCAACTCATTGACCAGGTGAGCATTAACAGGCAAGATGGGTCACACTTCTGAGCCTCAGTCTCCCATGGCTCAGCTGAGGAGCTGTCATTTGCTAGTTGAGGCTGCTGATGCTCCTTCCCTTTACCTTACAGGATGACTCCAAATGGCCACTCTAGGTTCAGGCCAGGGGGGCTCCCCTACAGTATGTAAATCTGCTTTCTGTAGTTCAGTCCAGGCAGGGTGATTGTCTAAAACACAGTCTGGAATGCAACACTCACTGCTTGTGAATAAAAGCACACAGTTCTTAATAAAGCATTAAAAAATCCCACACTTTTAAACAGTCTCTGCCTCCTATCTATCTATCCATTCTTCCACCCTTTCATCCTTTCTTGTTTCTTACACTCACTCTCTCCTACTTCTCTTCTTTCTCCTCTTGTTCAGTCTCTCCAAATGCTAAGCTTCTTGCTTGTGTCTGAAGGGCAGGCTCTTTGTCCAGTGAGGGGTGATGGTGGCGGTGGAGGGGCTGTTGCTTTTTTTCTTTGCCTATCACTCACCTACTTTTTCTTTAAGGTCAAACTCAAAGGTCATTTCCTCCATGAAGCCTCCTACCTTATCAACTATGAGCTTCCACACCAAGTAGCTTTCCTCTTTAAGGGACATATAATTCACAGTATTGTTTCTGTGTCTGTCTGTTTCCCACTGTCCTACCCCCACTCTACCAGGGTGGCGTCTTTGTACACTATTTAGGTTGTGCACTGCCCAAGAATACCCAGCTGAAGGATGTGCCCTGAGCAGACTGTATCTGCTCAGAAGGAAGAATACTTTTTTTCCCTAATCTACAAAGGCATCTGCTTCCCAAGTGATGGGCTCCATCGGCTGAGTCTTATTTCAAGAAGGCACCTTTTCTATTTCTCAAATGGAGGTTCTTTGAGCTAGTGATGACCACACCGTGATCTAAGTTCCTGAAGGTCAGGACCACTTTGGGTTCAATCCTCCAGCAGCAAGCACAACAGTGGCAGGCCCCAGAGACCTCCAGGAATGTTCTGAAAGGAGAAGACTGTGAATAACACAAGTCTTGGTTCCCTGGGCCTTGGGGATATGCCCGTGCTTGCCTTGTAGGGGAACCAGGCTTCTGACAGTGTGGCTGCAGGTTTGTTTGGAAATTCCCCAGTAAGTGGTGTTTTCATGTCTCCTGGGGACCTCAAGAGCTCACTGGAGGACCCACAGACCAGGGCTCCTCCAAATATTGTTTTAAACTGATTGATGCCATGCCAGGCAGAGAAGGGACGGGCATTTTTCATACATGAAAAACAATACATTCTGGGGCCAAGACAAAATTATTTCACGTTTGCATGATAACAGGCAGGGAGACAAAGATGATGTTTGAGGACATTTAAACCTCAAAATCATTCGTCATTGTCCCAGCGGGCTACACAAATAAATGATCAATGCACAGAAAAACAAGGCCCTCTGAGGTGTTTGCCCAAGACCACTTATGTGTCAAGCAGACTTATTAGATGTGAAGGGAATGATTATTTGTACAAAGTGAAATGAACATGTGCAATAATATTGTAAAATGTTTATTAGTCTAGAGTGTGCTGAATGTTCCTAAAATATATCAGGTTCTCAGCTTGCATTTAATGTACTGTTATAAATGATATCACATCCTTCCAAGCCGATTTTCCGCTTAACGCTAAGCTGCTTTGCTGGGGAAAGCATGTTTTCAGATCCCAAGTATGAAAACACTATGGGGTTAAACTTTCTTTTCTACTTTCTACCCCCCACCCCAAATGGTTACTTTCCTGTAAAACTTGTCCTGAGTCTGGCTGGGGAGGAAGGGCAGTTGGTCAGGACAGAGGGTGTTTGGAAAAGAAGGAGGTGAGTGGGTTATTGCAGAAGAAATATTAGACAGGAAGCTCAGAGAGTATGGTTTCAGGATCTGCTCATTAATTCCCTGCTGGGTGGCCTTGCACAGTCCTTTCCCCTTTCTGGGCCTTTGTCATTGTAATCAGAAAATGGGAATCACGTCTAAAGGGACTATCAGAGCTAAACATTGACACGTTCTAAGTTCTGGTTTGCTGAGACCTAAGTCTGAGGGATCAGAAGGGATTCTGAAAATGAACGAAATGAACGAATGAAGCGCTATACAAAATTTATTATTTTTTCTATGGCTTCTGGCAAATGCATCCTTATCTCAAAGCCCCGCCCCCCACCCCAGCCTTCTTGGATCCTCAGCCCTCTGTCAGTCTGCCTTTGATCTGATAGCACCTCATACTCATGAAACTCACTGCACTTCTTGCCCCACCAGCTCGTGGTGCCCCACATCTGTCACCTGGGTCAGGTGCATAATTACTGCTCAGGGAATGATTAGTGGGTGTGCATGGAGGGGAACAGAGCTGGCAGGACCTTTGGAGGTGATGTGGTACCTGCCCTGCATGTGAAAGATGGGGAAAGAGGTTGGTCCAGGTTTGTTCTCTGCTTGGGCAGAGCCCCAAGGAGGCTGAGACTGCTCAGGCTTTCTGGAGAAGGGTTGGGAGAATGTTTCCTACAGTTGGATCGGTCCACTTCCCACCTAAGAGTGGGGAGCAGAGGGGTCCAGCTGAACCCCACAGCCTTAGCCCTGAACAGGTGGGAGGGAGAGGTAGTGGGCTGTGCTCTGGATCAGCTGAGGGCTGGCTTGGGTCTCAGGTGGGAACAGGGTGATTTCCCCCCACTAACCCCTCACTCCCAGAACTTGCTTGAGGGCCCCTGCAGGTGATTTTCTATAAGCCTGGGGTTCTTTTGGGGATCTTGGGTCAGAGCATGCCGATACTCATATGGCACAAGGAAGATGTCCTGAGGTCCCCTCCCTGGGATGGTCTGCCATTGCCAGACTGAATTCCCCTCTGCGGTGGGCTGGGGCAGGGGGCTGGGCTTTGGAAAACTTCTGGTTTTACTCTAAACCACTGTTCATCCTTGCCTGTGAGCAGGGGATCCTCCTGGCTGGCTGTTCTTGGAACCTGTCCCTAGATAGGGCCTCTTGCTCCCAGCCCTATGCTGCCCCAGAGAGATCCAGACTGGCTGGTACCTGCATTCCTCAGTCAGGGCTGGTGCTCTAAGAGTTAGCACCTGGATCAACGTCTTAGGTGGCTACGGATGGCCTGGCCGGGTGAAGGGGTGGGGTGTGTTGGGGTTTGGAGCAGAACCTTCTCGTGCTTTAAACTCTGACTACAATACAGTCCAGATTCCTTGTGCAGCCCTGGGAGGCTGAGTCCTGCTTCCCTCTGACCCTACTTACTCCTCTTCTCCTGTGCACCCAGGATCTCTCACTGCAGGACATCTCTCAGCTGCCACTGCCCCACTTGTGAAGGACACTTGAGCTGCCATCTGAGATGTGACACGGGCACCCTGGCCACCTCCACCCCACACCTCACCTGCTGCATACCTGTAGTCCTGTCAGTGGCCCCTTAGTGTTGGGCTGCCGTGAGGCACACATAGATGATGAGAAGAGCAGGGTCAGGGTGTGTATTCCTGACTCTCCTTTCAGTGCCTTGGGTGGGCTGTGTCCCAGCACCAAATGCTATCCACGTCTCAAGGAAGCAGACTGTAAGTTCCAACCCCAGCTCTGTGCCCTATCTCCTTCAGCTGGAAATGTTTTGCTGCTGCTAGCCCAAAGCACTGCTCTGTTCCTCTTGCTCCTGAACCTTCTCCTTCACAGCACACTCTGGAAAGAATCTCTCGCTTTAGTCCCCCGTTTCAAGTGTGCTGCCTGTTTTGTTGGGATCTGACTGACGCTCTGCCTGCTATATAAGGGCCTCCCTACTTGCTGTTCCTGCTGCCCAAATGCTTTTCCCTTGAGGTGTTACATGGACAGCTGCCTTTCAGCTTAAGGATTTTGTCCTGACCACCATCCTTCTTAGCCCTTACTCTGCTAGGTCTCCATCCCATTGCCCTAGATTATATTCTCCATTGTGTGTATGATGATGACTCGTCTGGCTTTCTCTCCTTGACTAGAAACCTTGTGAGAGGAGAGGCTTTGTTTGCCTTGTTAATTTCTGTATCCTCCAGCCTCAGGCAGATAGCACCACCTGCAGCAGGCATGAACTCTAATGTTGGTTGAATCTGTGAATGAAGTGACTTAATGTGTAGATCAGGAGCAGCACAAGTGATCAGTGCAGCACTGGCAGTAAATATATGAACTCGCCTAAAGGAAGCATGAATGGGCCACCTGAGAGAAAACGCGTAGAATGTACACACATGCGGGAGGCAAAGCGAGGAGCATGTGAACAGACATGAGAGGAGTGGGCGGGCTCATCTGAAGAGTCCCTGGCGAACCAGTCACTTCTGCCCCCATGGAACTCAGGGGTCAGCTGAGGTCTCTGGCATCTGTGGGTGGTGGGGGACTGAGCTGGAGCAACCAGGCCTGCAGATCTCATGGCTGGGACTGGGAGAGCAGCTCTAGATCACCCACCTCCAGGAGCTGGGGTTCTGGGTAAGGGGGCAATGATAATGCAGTGTAGAAAGACTTGTGCTGGCTTGCCGGGTGCTGTGTTACTTGGCAGAGATGCCCACCTTACCATGAGGAGTCTTTTTGAAGGAGCTCTGCAGGGCATGTAATCTGTCCACATCACTGGGGGATGCCCCCTGCAGGTTCACCTCAGAGACTTGGGGAGGTAGGATGAGTGTGCCAAGAGGGTTGAGAGGGGCAGGGAGATCAAAGCTGCACTTTATTAGTCCAGCCTTGGCACCAGCATCTTGTGCCTGGTCCCTTTGCTGCCCTTTGCACCCTGGATGGAGGTGATTCCTTTGTCAGAGCTGTGACAAGAGGTTCAGTGACTTGTAGTGGCCACAGAGTCTGTCCGAGGGGTCAGCAGTAGCCTGTCTTTTTTCCCTGAGTGTCCAAGTACAGCTGTTATCCTCCCTAGTAGTTGGCATCAGGCCAGGTGCCCAGTGAGAGGCAAGAGGACCACGTTACACTGAGCAGTACTTTTGTGCTTGACTGCTGTGTGTGTGTGTGTGTGTATGTATGTGTGTATGTGTATTTGTGCTCATGCACACAGGGTGAGCAGTCCTGAGAGGCACTGAAGAGCTGCTCTGTTATGGGTTGAATTAGGTCCCCCCAATATTTGTATGTTGACCCCCTAACCTCCATTAATTGGAAATGAAACTGCATCTGGGAGTCATCATGCCGTTACAGCGGAGATTGAGTGAGGTTGTTGGGTGGCCTTTAACCCAATACAACTGCTGCCCTTATAAAGAGGAAAATTCTGGATACAAATACACATACAGGGAGAACACCATGTAAAGATGAAAACAGTTCAGAGGATGTGCTTGTAAGCCAAGGACCCAAAGACTGCCGGCCAGTTCCCAGA